ATTGTTATATTTGTGTTGTGGACTATTGTCACGTCACGCTGTTGAGGGAACACGCTGGAGTCACGAGGAAACGTTTAACAGTCTTTAATCACGAAACGCAGGAGTTAATACACAATAGGAGTTTGAGCCAACACACGTAGAGAATGAGTAGAACCGACAAATGCAAACTGAACAGACTGGGGCTGATAAGGACTGGATAACGTGGAACAGACAGGTGCAAGGAATCAATTAATAATCAAACTAAACAAGGACGGGAACAAGACCAAATAAGGCAACACAGGAAGGACTACGGGGGCAAAACCGGTCCAAAAGTCTGACATTTCGCCCCCTCCCGGAAGGTGCGTCCTCGCTCCGTAACAACAACAGAGGGATGCATAGGTGGGAGCTTGGGAGGAGGCTCAGGAGGAGGATGGACACCCAGAAGGGGGCCGGCAGACAGAGACCAGGGAGGCAACGAAGGAGGGAGGAGACAGGAGGGGCCCGGAGCAGGAGGAGCACAGCCGAACCCAGGCCACAGCCATGATAGCGACCCACAGTGGAGCCGACGGAGGGAGGAGCCATGGAGGAGGAATGGCCGCCGACTCCAGGGGTTCAACCAACGGCGGCGGAGCAGGTGGAGGCAGAGAGCCGCGGCGGAGCCGGAGCGACTGAGGACCAAGGTGGAGCTGGCGGGAGGAAGGAGACCAATAGAGCCGGTGGTACAGAGCAACAAGGTGGAGCCAGAGGAGCGGAGTCCTGATGCGATGGAGATGGCCGGTGGAGCTGGTGGATCGACGGGTGATGGTGGAGGCGAGGGAGCTAGGAGCTGAGGTGGAGCCGCTGTGTCTACGGGCCGAGGAGCGGACACTTGAGGGCGCTTTCTAGGAGCGGGCACTGGAGGGTGCTCTGGACTGGATTCGGGGACTGGAGCCCTCTACTCTTCTGTGGGGCACATTCGCCGTGCCATATTCAGCTCACTCTCAGCCTCAGTGCAGGGGGTGGAGCTCCTCTCCGCATTCACACGGTCCGCAGCTTTCTCCCTCATGATGGGTTCAGCTCTACGTCCGGGGCGATCCTCTGCTCACTCGCTCGGCTTTGCGCTGGCTCGCTGATCGCGGCGGGAAATGGCTCTCCTTCTACGGTGGGCTTGGGCTGATGCTCTGCATCGCGGGGAGATGGTGGGCTGGGCTCTGGGTCTGAAGTGGATCTGACGAGATCATCCACGGGGCTGGATGGTGATCCGTTTCTCGCCAGAGTCCACTCCACGAAGGCAGCGAATTCCGCTCGAAGACCATCTTCGGACGACGGCGCTCTGCACGCGGTGTTCAGGCTAGCATCACAGAACTCGCAGAGCGCGTCGTCCGGGTAGCTGGTAAGTTCGGCGAGGGCCAGAAACAGTCTGGTATGGTCCTCGAGCCAGCGCTCCCCCTGCTCCAGCAGGAGGAGGAGGAATTCGGGGCGAAGGAGGTGATCCATAGAAACAACGGGAACAAAAGAAAACACTGGAGGGAACACACGGAGGTAACTGTACTTGGTCAGGTCTTTTGTCACGTCACGCTGTTGAGGGAACACACTGGAGTCATGAGGAAACGTTTAACAGTCTTTAGTAACGAAACACAGGAGATAATCCACAATAGGAGCTTGAGCCAACACAC